TTTGCTACTCAGAGACATAGTTTTTTTTCCTAATGTTCAGATGATTCTTTGACCACACAATATTTTCTGCGCAAACTTTATCTATGCGTTCCCAATGATACGATGCACGTTGTTTGAAAATTTCAATAAAATCTATTACTTTTAGATTAGAAAAATATTTTTGATTAAGGTTTTAAAATGTTTGTTTTATTGTTTCAAGGATTTCTTCTATTTTAGCATCTAAATAAAAATTTTGATTCCCATAACAGTTTTGTTTTGCAACTGTCTGTTGGATAAAAATCACTTCGAAAGTTCTAGCTCAATAAAAGACGAGGTTTTATTCTGACAAGGGCTCTAAAAACATCCATGATGTTACCAATAGAGAGAAGAGTTTTATATGCTCCATGCATTTGTAAGAAGCTTCAGTTACTCTATCATTTTTCCAAAAGATTTCATTGAACAGCTGAAATATTTGATTCTTGATCACTGTTTCTGCGACCATTATGGCTCGTGTTCTATATACTTTACATGCTTACTTTAATTCGAATGTTCATTCATTTGAAATGTCACCAACTGCTGACGTTCTCGAACTTCACCAGAAACTTCCATGCCATGTCCCAACTCGTCTTGTGGAAGCTCCTCTCGCAGCTAAGCACCTAGGTGTTCGACAAGTCTGGGTAAAAGAGGAGTCAAGTCGTTTCGGATTACTAACTTATAAAATTCTTGGAACGTCATGGGCCACATATCGTCAGTTGGAGACTTGTTTTGGTCCTTTCCAACCGTTGTCTAATATCGATGAACTGAAAGAGCAATTGAAAGATTTTGATATTACTCTAGTCACCGCTACTGATGGAAATCATGGTCGAGCTAGCGCACGCATGGCTGGATGGCTTGAATTCATGGCACATATTTGTGTTCCAGATGATATGGTACATGCTCGGAGAGAAGCAATCAAGAGTGAAGGAGAACATATCGAAGTTGTCAATGGAGCATATGACGATGCCGTGGCTAAATTAGCTGATATATTAGGAAGCAAGCACCTAGTTATCAGTGATACAGCATGGAAAAGCTATGAGCGAGTGCCCACTTGGATTGTCGAAGGATATGGCACAATATTTCGAGAAGTCGATGAGCAACTTAGAATATTCGGAGCAGAGCATCCACATTTGGTAGCAGTACAGATGGATATCGGTTCTCTTGATACCTCTGTCGTTCGTCACTATCGTTCTCCTAACAGTACAACGCATATTCTCGGTGTTGAACCGATGCATGCTGCACGCGTACTTCATTCATTAGAAGCAGATGAACTGAAAGAAGCGTCGGGTTCACATATATCAATAATGGCTGATCTCAATTGTGACAAACCATCGCCACTTGCATGGCCCTTTCAACGCAATGGTCTGAGCGAATCAGTGGTAATCGATGATAGTTTCGCAGAGGAAGCCATGGGACTACTCGTCCAAGACGAACTGATATTGGGAGAATCTGGAGCGGCGGACTTAGTTGGCATTCTGGCTCTACTGACTGCGAGGGACGAGACAGAAACGATATTTGAAAACCTTGGCCTCGATCACAATAGTAGCGTCTTGATCATCTCTACCGAAGGTGCAACTGATCTACAAGCGTATGCTCGAATTGTTGGTAGTATACTTAAGACATGATGTTCAATACTTCGTTGAACTTTTTGTGATTTGTAGACTGTTCTACTTTCTTATGCTGAAATAATCTATCCTTTCTATCTTACGAAGTCATTTCTGTACGTCATTTCTGGCTGAAAAATTTTTCGAAATTCAGTTTCTTTAACTCAGAAGAGTAATAGTGTGTATGAAATCAGTATTATAATAGCCAGAACGTTAAAGTTAGGGTTGCAATCATTTTGTCGTAGAAATCCATTCAAAAAACCATTGTCGACGTCTTTGAACTAGCTACACTGTAAAACTCCTATTTAAGAAATTAATAATTACCTATTAATAGAGAAAAATTCTGATTCTGATTTGAGGCATCTATAATGAATAGGCAGGGCTCGTACGCAACCATATATGTTGTACTTTTTGCTTTCCCAAATTTCTATCAAGTCCTAGTTCTTTTGAAAACAACTGTGAACCTTTTCCATTTCAATAACCTAGAACTAATATCGAACTATCAGATGTCTAAACAAGAGCGTCTTAGTTCATGACTCGAATCGACAATTAATATGAAGAAAACTGACTAATAAGTACATGAAAGTGTGAGTGTCAGTATTTTCTTTTCCTATGCCCACACTCACAATCACACTCCATTCTATCTTACTGATGGCGGAGGTTTCGCAGTTGTCAGTTAAGGACATTAGATATGCTCTGGTAAAATTGAAGCTTTCATCGCCAAACTAACAGATTTGAAACATAGACTCTTGTTGGCGTGTGCAAATCGAGGTGTTCAAACTAAGATACTTACAAGATATTTAGAATGTCCACAAATCAAAGTTTCGGCGACATTTTTTTTTCTTTTTTCTTGATCGTTTGATAGAACTCATCGAGCTGCATTAGGAAAAATGTATGTTTCATATTTTAAGAAGTGGCTTGCAAACAAGATTGCGAAGATTAGAGTTTTGGATCTATTTCTTCTTATATCTGTTATCATTTTAGCTTGAACTTTTTGTTTAATAATATTTTTTTAAAATATATCTTCTAAATATCAAACATGTTTTTATTAATCCAGCTTAACGAACTGTCTCGAATGATTAAGAAAAAAACCTCTGCCGAAACTGAATTGCGAGCATCCTACATATATTATGAATGCCTTAAAGTTTGGATATCTCGATCTGCATACACCAGCAGGAACCTATGGTTCAAATCTGTTACTTTGACGGCGAGAGCTTCAATGTGACCAGAGTATGTCTAATCTCCTTGATAGGCAGCACAAATACCTTCATTCTTAGATATATTGAAAGTAGGAGTCAAAAACATGGACTAATAAAAGTATGGATGGATAAATCTTGATGAAATTTAATTTATTCTTAGTAATCAATAAAAACTTTGAATCAAAGTCTATTGACGAAATGCTTATTCATAGATAAGTCTTCATTTTTTCCATGAATTGAAAAAGAACAATGTTTCTAACGACTTTTTTACATAAGTAATCTTAACCTGAAACAATTTTGTGAAGCATGATCTAAAAAGAATGTTGAATATTATATGGTGAAAAGTGAACCACATCCTCGTATTCGAAAACCGTGATAGACGTTTCTGATACATGATCAAAGAATATATTTTAAATAAGGTTAAAATCGAATAATGCACAATAAATTGAAATTAAAATAAAATAAACTGAAATATAATTAAGTAAAAAAAGAAGCATTAAAAAATAAATGAGATGAAGCATCTAAAGATGTTTTCGTTCGATCAGATTTCGTCGGATTCGACAAGTTCCCATTGCCGCATATCATCGAATCTTATTGTCGAAATATAACAAAATCCAACTTTGGAAATTAACAGATGATGATAGTCTCCGATAGTTGGAATCCGATGTGATCCCGATTATTAGAAGCTCAGATAGCTGTGCCTCCCGAAGGGTGACTTTGAACTGAGAGTGTACTCTGGTAAAGCAACGAATTCGGAAGAATTTGATCACTGAGTTTGTTTTACTGACAGCTATTTGTGCTGTAACTATTCGATAGCATGATTTCAGAGGTTATAGAATCCTAAGATTTTCTGAAGAAAGCCTTTCGCCGTTTTGAAAAAGGACACTCAATTAGTGGCATGTTCTTTTGTAACAGACACTAAATTTCTAAATTTTACACAGCTATTTTGTGGAGACAACC